TCATTGAATTGTTTTCTCACAACTCCGCACCTCTGGCCTCTTCACCCACATCCTCCCCCTGCGCCGCCGCGCGCGGAGCCACGGCGGGTCCCCTTGTTTTTTTTATAAGAAAAACAGGTCCTTATGGGCCTGGCTCCATATCCATTCTGGGGAGCATCAGTCCAGTTCCTATTCCACCGGCAAGTCAGAAATTACAATATGAGACACCCTCACGCTTCCTTCCGTCTGGCCGAAGGACCCCTGAACAGCATTGATTGCTCAAGCATTGCAAGGATTGACTGTCAGCTTGCCATACATCTATCGTTCCTCTCAGGCCCAGAGCTATCTAAACCTGTCGTATTTATCGTGAGAGCAAGAGAGGGCTAGGCAATGGAGGCAGCCGCCATTACAGAACCTGACTATACCGCGCCTTTGCCACAGGATTCACTTAACCTGTTGTGACCCTTGTCCATCTGTAGGCTGGGACCTCCTCCAACTGGCTTGAATTGTGCCAGTCCTTCCATCGTAGATGGGAGGCCTGTATGTTTGCTACCTTGCCTCCTGGCAGCCGCTCCTTCGTAAATTTCTTTTTAATTCTCTGTTGCTGGTCTACGTCTTCCGGCAGGGAATGTCTTATCTTCTGCCATTTCCAAACAATCTCTGCCTGTATCAATGACCTTGTCTCCGACCATACCTTCTCTCTTGATGTTGAGAGGCCTTCGATGGTACTGCACCTTTCCTTCCATATAGCCCAGAGTGTAACCTTTCTGATCATGCCGAACCATATCTTCTCCGTCTTGCAGAAATGAGCCAGGATGTTAGTCCAAAGGAGGAGTTGGATGGGGTGTTTGGGGAGGGGGGTCGGGATGAGGGAGTCCCATAGGTTTGAAGCCCTAGTCCAGTATTCAGTCGCTTCCCTACACCGTATTAAGCAGTGTATCATATCTTCTGGCTCACCATCCGAACAAATCACGCATAGCTCCGAGCTGTTTGGGTCATTCCTACTTCTCCTGATATGCAACCACTGGTTGACCGGTAGCGCCACGTATGAGATGAGCCATTGAAGGCTTCTGATTTTGACTGGGCGAATTGATTTGAACTTTTTCCACGGTATTTGAGAAATCTGATTAGCGTCCTGGCCGATTAACTTCCTCCATCTGTTCTTGATTGTTGGATCAGGGTCCTTGGTTTTAAGGAGGCGGTTGTGCCCTAGTTTGACTGTATAATCGCGGACGTTGACATTTGTTTTCAGATTCTTACTCCTGTCGGGTGTCCAGGCCCATTCTGCCGGGTCAAATTCCAGGTCTTGAATAGCTGTCTGTTATGGACTCCCACAGGGCTCGATCCCTGGTCTATCTTTTTGCTGTTTCTGCTGCACCCCGTTTTCGGCCTGGCACCCTTTTTTTTCCAAACCCCTCCTTTGGTACCGTCGGATTTTGGACAACTGGCGCCATGCTGCAATTCGGGCGCCACTTTCAAATACCGCATTTTTCAGTTCTGCCCTCGGGGCTTTTGCGGAAACACCCCTGGTACCGTACGTGTCACCGGTACTTATACCGGCTCCCTGTACAGTACAGGGACCAGTCTCGTACTAGATTTCTGCTGCTGTACTCGTACTCAGTGTGACTTGCTGTTTCGGCATTCGGAATCCAAGACTTCGACTTTGTGCCCTTGCAACTGTGTCTGCGTCCGACCCTCAGTCGTGTCGAGTGAGTGAGTGTGTGTGTGTGCTCTCACTCTCTCACTCTCTCCCTCTCTCTCTCCTCTCCCTCAGCCCCGCGCTCGTCACACTGGTATCGGAGCGGTTCGATCCCGCCCGACCCACCCTGCTTCGTCGTCACCACCTGGCCATCATCAGCATCATCGTTGTGATCGTTGCCGTAACGCCATGTCATCGTCGTGATCGTCGCCGTTGTGCCACGTCATCATCGTCATCGTCGCGATCGTCGTCATCGTGCCACGTCATCATCGTCACCGTCGCGATCGTCGTTGTCGTGCCACATCGCCATCACCGTGCCCGTCGTCCTCGTGCCATCCTCGTCATCGTCGTTGCTACCTCCGCGCAGATACGTAATCGACGACAATTTTCCACCTTCTTCCTGCCCGCCCACCCAACTCCCTCCTCCGACTCCGACTCCCTCGATCCCCAACTGCGCACCCCCACCCCGACC